ATAGCCAAAGTCAAAAACAGTATTGATAACTTATTTTATTATATCTCTCAGTTAGTACGCGAGCTGTGATTGGTCAGTTTAGCAACAACAACAGTTTATTTCTACTACTGTAAACAACTAAAAGAATTTACAAGATCATAATTATAAATAAATAAATTTTAGCAGGCCGTACTCTCCTGTACGGCCCGCTAAAATTTAAAGTTGGTTTTGTTGCCAAACTGTTTCGCGATTTATCGACGAGTGTTCTTAACTTTTATAGCAAGTGAAAGTTTAAAACTTTTTTATACTCTAAATTATGTAATAAAGCGTGCTGACGACTTAAAAGCAGTTTCAAACTGACTCGTGTTGCTTTTGAGGTTCGTCAGAAATTTGAAGCCTTTCCGAGTCCGCGTGATTCCGAACCCGTCAGGCACACAGTACAGATATAATAAATATCTTCCTAACCTCGTTTTCTCGGTTCGTACTGTAAGTTACGGATCCTCGTTTTTTCCCCCTTCGATTTATGACCCGCGCTTGGGCCATAAATCGAAGGGGAAAAAGCTCGGCCCGTAACTTACAGTACGGACCGAGAAAACGAGGTTAGTAAGAGATATTACATTTCGAAACTGAATTCAACGTTACGTTGATATGCTCATGATGGGTTAGCTTCATCCTGTTTAATTCTGCTCAGCTTTTGGGCTAAATATCCTCATTAATTAAGGCCCAAATACGTTATTTTCTCATATCAATACCCACAGCACTATATACGTTATGCACACAATGCTTATAAAGTATTTTGCAATTTTGAGAGGCCCTCGGTCCTCTAAACAGTGGGCGTGTTTCTGTAAGTAATTTATGTCTGTACAGAATAGTTTCAGTAATGTTACAAACTATAATTAACTATCCCTGAAGTCTACAAGTGCTTAGCACGCACTTAAAATTCTCTCGAGTCACGCGCATAAAGCACGCGTAACGTTTCAGTTTTAAAAAGTTTTTAAATCGCGCGTAACATCAAGCGGTTCCTCAATTGATGAAGCAGGGCGCTTATATGTTTCCGCCCTGGATAAAGGCTTAAGAGTTAGCCGAAACGTCTTGTTAAAATATATACAAGTCAGTGACAAAAAACGGCACTTTTATCGATTATGTCATCTCCTGACTACACTTACTCAATTTTTAAGGGTTAAATTCTCGTGATATAAATAGAGAATGCACGCGCATAATAATTCTTGGTAAATTTCTGACTTGGAAAACACCACATTTTGCCGCGAATCGGGAGACTGGAAAAACATTACTGAAAAACTAGAAATAATATATCATTATACACCGCAGAGAATATCTGTACAATATACTTGAGACCAATTGTCCGTCTGGACGAACTCGGGCAAACATTTGTAGTTCGTCTGGTTATGCGTCTTTAGTATAAAGATGGGCACAAGGCGTATTCATGCGTCTAGACGAACTATCTCTCCTAGTTCGTCGTTCAAGACGAATTTCGAGGTATAGTTCGTCTAGACGCATAATACGTCTTGTGCCCGTCTTTATACTAAAGACGCATAACCAGACGAACTACAAATGTTTGCCCAAGTTCGTCCAGACGGATAATTCATCTTTAATATAAAAACGGCGAGGACGCATTATCCTTCTGGACGGATAATGCGTCCTCTAGTATAAAAACGGCCATTGTTTCGTTGCTAGTATAAAGTGCGTGAAAATTAAGTTTTGTCGCTTCTGAAATCTGGCGATTTACTCCAAGGCTACTGATACATAATACAAAGCTAACTCAATGAGAAATAAACAATAAAAAAAAACAATTGCTTGAAGAAATAAGCTCATAACTCCATTTAATGCACGTTAGCATATTTCTCGTTCAGACATTTCGGAAAAAGAAATCAGCGATGAAAGTGGGCAAAAATGAAATGAAGATAAACAGTTTTCCATCAAGGTCAACAGAATAGCGCGTTTGAGGTCGTTGCGAAGTCAGGGCATCGATTATAGCGTTTACAACTTTAGAAGTTTCTGAAGAAGCCATCCTGCAGGATTTACTGACACCCTGTTTTACTGTCGAAAAAAGTGAAAAGAAATGCAATTAAGAAACTCAGTGATCTGTTAGCTCAGGCAATCAACCTTATAGCCTTATAGCCTTACGATGTGCTCACACCGGGCTGATAAACGCGTAGTCTAATCACAAATTAAGGCAGACTCTTGGAACCAGAGGTCGTCCTAAGGTAGGCACGGCCGTGTCAATATTGGCTCCGACTGAAATTCACTTGCTTCACTGAACTTCCTTTAATGCTGACTCCTCTCTAAACTGAACGGCTAGAGCTGCTTCTGAGGATGTCCGGTAGAGAGTTCGCGATACTGCGGTCAAACGAGTTGAAACTGTAGTGCGAGCGCACTATCAGTGGTGTAGACCAAGAGATTGGCCGTTTTTATACTAAAGACGCATTATCCGTCTAGGCGAACTTGGGCAAACATTTGCAGTTCGTCTGATTATTCTTCTCTAGTGTAAAGACGGGCACAAGACGTATTATGCGTCTAGACGAACTATCTCTCGTAGTGCGTCGTTCAAGACGAATTTCGAAGTATAGTTCGTCTAGGCGCATAACACGTCTTGTGCCCGTCTTTATACTAAAAACGCATAACCAGACGAACTACAAATGTTTGTCAAGATAATCTCTTGAGTAGACACCATTTTCTCAAATGGACACCCCTAAAATGAACAGCTAGAGCAGCAGCGGAAGATGTCCGGTTTAGTATGTAAGGGAGGCGCGTATCGTGAAACACACTAGGTTTATACAAAAGGAAAGCGAGGCTCAGTGGTCTCAATATAAGATCTTACCTTGATTTAGTTTTCGCTCTCCATATTCCTCTTTTAACTCCAGACTGAGGCCATCCCAAAATTCCTGCAAAACTTGGATCTGACGCTCTTCATTTGCTAAGGCGGTTTTGAACAAACCCGGCTCGATGATACTGACTTGCACTCCCCAAGGGGCCATTTCCCGTCTCAAAGCATCGGAAAATGCTTGTACTCCATATTTGGTGACGCAGTAGCTAGATGTGTTAGGAGGTGAAACACGACCTGTAATAATGCGAAAATATTTTATATTTGGTAATGTCTCGTAAACTTACTCTCGAAGCTGAATTTTAAGATAACTTGTACGGTTTGTCAGTTAAGAAATGCTAGGGATAAAGAAACAAAGGGGGTTGCATTGGGAGAGAGAAGATTAGCACAGGGCAGATTATAAACATATAAAACTTCTTGGCAGTGTAGATCACAAAACTGGTAGACATGTTGCACGAAAAACTCTCTTCTTAAACTCTCTATGGGAATATAGGCCAGGTATAAGTGGTAGACACTACTTCTATAATTTCATTTTTTCATTGAACATGCTAGAGTGTCTTGTCCTGAAACTATAGACATCGTTAAAACGTAAAGCTAGTTTAGTACACTGTAAAGTTTAATTTTTCTTAACTTTAACAATAACGGAAAGAAAACGAATTAAAACGATAACGTTACACTCACCTACTACACTCGATATGTTAACTACTCGTCCCCGGGCCTTCTTGACGAGCGGCAGGAAGGTTTTTGTGACGTCAATCATCCCCCACATATTAATATCAGCAATGTGTTTGGACTTTTCCAGTGGAGTCCACTCTATTGGTGCAGAGAAACCAATTCCAGCGTTGTTTACCAGACCCCACAGGCCTGAATGAATGAGAAAGCAATTCTTCCATTTACAGCCATGAGTCAGCCTGCACGCGCATTCGTCGCCACCAATGGAGGGACGATAAGGGAAAAAGCTTTGGAACGCGCGAAAGCATATGCTCTGCAAAGCCGTTATTCCGGTTGTCACGCAACTCTCCTCCCCAAAAAGAGCCGGAAGCATTTTGTGACGGCTGCTTAGAAGGCTGATAAGAGAAGGGAAGCGTTGGAAACAACTTCTCATAGTGCCAACTGAGTTCCTTTCTGGTCCTAATGGTTTATCTTTTTTCTTGATTCTCACGGTAGTTTATATCCCTTAGTGATTGTACGGAAATGGTCACCTCGCAAGATAGATTTCATATGAAGACATGATTGATCATCGCAGTTACATACACAACTTAAGCAGTTGTGAAATTAAAACCTGAAAAACATTCAGGCCTGACCGGGATTCAGCCCGAATTCGGCCTGATTCGGGACCTATCGCAGAGGTCATGGGTTTGAATCCTGTTCAGGCCTGAAGTGGAGAAAGCGGGGGGG